TACCAAATTAAATGGAGTATTTGTGTTCAAATGGGAATAATGTGGGGTTTTTTTGGTGTTTTTATTATTTTTATAATTCACAATTTAATTTCAATAGGAAATTATCAAAGAAGGAAAGTTTCTCAGGCTTGTTTTGGTAAGTGTTATCCATTTATTCTTAAAAGAAGAAACATTTTTCTGGGAAAAATTATTTAATTTATATTTATAATTTTTTTTTTTTTTTTTTTTTTTTTTTTTTTTTTTTTTACTGGGTGCAGTGGCTCACACTTGTAATCCCAACACTTTGGGAGGCTGAGGCAGGATTGCTTGAGCCCAGAAATTTGCGACCAGCCTAAACAACATAACCAAACCCCATTTCCACAAAAAAATTTGAAAAAAAAAATAGTCGGATGTGGTGCCATGCACTTGTGGTCCCAGCTACTTGGGAAGCTGAGGTGGGAGGGTCACTTGAGCGTGGGAGGTTAAAGCTGCAGTGAGTCATGATAGCACCAGGGCAATAGAGCAAGAAACTGCCTTAAAAATAAAAAGGTTTTTTGTTGTTGTTTTGTAACCTAAGTTGATCAACTCTTCCCATCATTCAGTCACCCAAACGCCCAGAAAGAATATAGAAACAAGATATGCATATATTAAAGAGTCACTTTATATTTTCATTTGTACTTAAATGTTTGCCTCTCCAAAACATTCTGCTCTCCTTTCCATGACATATGTGGAGGTTTACAGTTTCCTTACTCCTTATAATAGAATGCTCTTAACTGTAAATAATACGTATGTGTCATATTCTCTATAATTTTTTGACTTAATTGCTGAGTAGAAGAACATCATATTTTAATTCAAGGACATTATCTAAATGATTTGATAGATAACCCAACTATGAATGAATTTTAACATAACCTTTTTTTTTTTTTTTTGTAGCCTATATCATTAGAATCAAGAGAGGTAAGAATGACTCCACGGAATATACGGTACAATTAACAAAGGGAAGTAAGTGTTAAGATCAGGAGACTCAGAACAGTGCCTAAAACAAAGTGAAAGTCAAGGATAACAAAATTGAGTGGAACAATGTAAAAATATTGTTAATTGCACACTTACATAGTAGTCTTATGCAAAGAAAGTGTAGGGAAACACCACTTAAAGGTTAGAAATGATACACTAAGGAATACTAGCTCTTTCATGAAAAATAAATTTATTTTTAAATTTGTATCAGCACTAACGAATTCTGCTGAGAATTCTAGAGATTGCTGATTTGATTGACTTAATTGTGTAGTGGGAAAGACCATTTAGGGTTAGAAATGATATAATAAGGAATATTAGTTCATTCAGGAAAAATAGATTTATTTTTAAATTTGTATCAGCACGATGTGAAGTATAGTTTCTCATAGATTTCCACTCATTTATGTCTTGTTTCACTAATATTGTTTATCTTTTCTTTTTTATCCCTAAGGAATACATCAATGGTATGAACAGGGTAAGAAGCATCAACGAAATTTAAATTATGTTAAAAGTTTGTCTTCATGAAAACATATTTTACAAGGTACACTTTATTGATTTTAGCAGAGAAAAGTTCTGAGAGAAAAACAGAGTGATGAAATCAAGGTACCAAAGTTTTTCTTGAAAGAGTATGACAAAAGTATATATTCTTGTAGTAGCAAAAAATGTTTTCATTTAGGAAAAGAAAAAAACATTTTTCTATGATTTTTTCCTTTCCTTGAACTTTTCACTCATACATTTGTAGTGACTAATGAATTCTGCTGAGAATTCTGAAGATAATGATTTCTTGACTTAATTGTGTAACTGTGATGAAACAAGGCATTAATGTGAATGAATGAAATAGCAAATAAACAAATAAATGCAATTATGTGTTCACATTTATCACCAAAATTAAATGAATGCTTTATCAAGGGTATTATATGAAGTAATACAATATCTGGCTCAAGAATATTTACATAGTCATACTCCATTATTTTCTTTAAACGTAACGTCTTTGATTTGGATTGTCTACTAGTTTTTTAGTAGAATTGGTATTGAGACAGCAGGTGCTCAAACTTTATGAGATAAAATATAAATCTTCTTAACAATCTTTCATAACTGACTGACTGATTGTCTTGGCAGGATGCTAGGAATGAGTCAATTGAGGTGAGACCCTTTGTTTTATATTAAACCAATATGAGGAAAAGAAACAATACATATTTCCAAAAATAAATTATTATTTTAAATAAAAACTATAGCAGATAACTCTAATTCAAAGAAAGAAAAGATATACCGCATCATACGTTGGCCAGAGTAACTAAACCAACACAAATATTTTGAATTTAAATTCTATGAATAATGTCACTGATCTCTGTGTTGCTGTAGTCGTGAAAACTAAGCAAAACGTACTAGATGGAGCAACTTCATTTGCTTAGGTATTTATACACCATTGAATTAGTGCTCTCGTTTAGCTCAGTTGTATTTACTTCATGAGCTTCGGTGCAGTGTTCTGCTCAGTGTCCAGAAGCTAAGTATTAAAAGAGGGAAAACAAAAAGTCATGCTGGATAAAGGAAAATGTAAACTTGCTTTCACTGATTTACTACAACATAGAAGAATCCAAAACGTTTTATTTAAATTTCAAAATGCAGGTTCAGTTAGCTCAGAGTTAAGGTAGGCAGGCTTTTTAGTTTTTCTTATTACTTTGATATTGTCTTTTTCTATTTTCTTTGACATCCATTTTATTTGGTAATCATTACTTTTGTATTTGACTATTTGCCATGAAAAATGAAATTAATTATCTTTTCTTTCTTAAGAACCATGTTATGGCAGAGTCTGAGGTAAGACCCGTTCATTCTAGTGAACTCTACACTTATGTATCACACATAGTATACGCAGTATGCTTCATTTTAAGAAGACTGTCTTCTGAAATTAAGCAGAATAAGACACTGAATTTTAAAATGTTAACATCTTAATTTTAAATTAATTCTATTCTAATTTTAACTTATTGGACTTCTCAAACAGAAATATTATACTCAAGAATGTACAATGTTGTGCTATATAAAGTTGAAATTGGAAGATGGAATTTAAGCCATTTAAACAATAATTAGTAAAAAGATTGCTTATTCATTTAAATACAAAATAAAAACAAAAGGTGCATGGATGTTTAAAATGAGAGTCCCACAGAACACTGGCTCTGACATCCCAGGGCATGAGATTACTTTTTAATTTTAGTACAAATGTATGCGTGTAAGATTTTTACATGAGTATATCAGACACAGGTAGTGAGCGTACTACCCAATAGGTATAGGTTAGTGCAAAAGTTATTGTGCTTGTTTGCCATTAAAAATAATGGAAATACTATTAGGTTGGTGCAAAAGTAATTGCAGTTTTTACAAAGTAATGGCAAAAACGTCAATTACTTTTACTACTTTTGCACCAACCTAATAGTTTGTCAACCCATGTCCCTCTTCCTCTCCTTGGACAGAAAGAATCTATTGCAGCAATTACCTAGGATCAGTGAGCTACACTATTTACAAATATATTTTTTTAAATGCTGACTTATTGCATATGGTTAATCAACCATCTCCAGAGATAAAGTCTGTTGAATATTAAAATTAATCTGTTAAAATATGTATGTACTTGGGAAGTAAAATTATATGTATATATAAATATAAACATAAAGGACTTTGAATAAAAAATAAATATTTCAAAGTAAATATTTTTAAAGCTAAATTAATTTTAGTTTCATCTTAAGGTTGTGTATTGTATTTAATGTTTCCATTTTATTCACATCAAAGAAACCCCAAGGGCAGATGAGAATAGATGTTTAACCCAGGGTTATAGGTACCCAGCTAAATACGGTTCTTTCTTAGAGGTTTCATTTGTGTCACAAAAATCTATGTAAAATTTGCATTCTACTCAATGATAAACTTGTGTTTGTTTTCCTAAATTAAAAACTATCGCTTTTAAGTTTTTATGTTCCCAGATAAGTTATTAAACCTACAGCCATAACTTTTCAAGTAAAATTGACACTCCAAGAAAATACAATATAGTATGCCTGAATTTTCCCATACCATTAATTCAATTACAATGTTACCATGGTAAGCATTTCACCATGATGGTATGGAACTAGTTTCCTTCAAATTCTAAAAATCCCAGGGTATAGTTGACACTAGTTTTCTTTATTTTAGAAGACGGAATCTAGCATCAGTTCATCAAGTGAGGTAAATAATTTTGATATTAATTCTGAGTCCCAATTAATTTAAAACATTATGAAAACTTGTACTGTGAGGATTACATATCCCATAAGGTCTGATTGTACAAGGCAGTGTATATGTGGCACTATTCTAGTTTTAGTATGTGAGTAGCTATCCAAAAGAAGTAAGAAAGCAATTTTTTGTCAGAGACAAATTGACATTATTTCTGGGCAAACAATTTTATCTGGCCATCTGTGATGTCCAAATTATTATTTTTTAACCAATTACTTTGTCCTTCACAGATTTTGTTAAAACTCAATCTTATCGTTAAAAATTCTAACAATTACAATGCTTATAAGCCAATGAAGTAAACATTTCATAAACCATTTAGAATTTAACCAATTCTAGGTTAATCAGACGTTGGTCTCCTCTAACTACTCCCCACACTTTGCCCTGTGTTAATCTTGAGAACAAAAGTCGGCCTACATAAAAAGTGGTGTTGTTTTTCCTTTGACTTTGGGAGAAGACCTTCATGCAAGTTACCAAAATAAAACCAACTCAGTTAAGTGGGATTTCTGTTAATTGAATACAAATCATTACTTCACCTCCACCCCCAACATTCGGAGCAATGTAGTGGTTAAAGCAGTGAGAAAAGGAAAAGCAATGTGATTATAATATGTGCTTTAAATTATTAATCTTGTCTCAGCTTTTGGGGAATTTATAATGAAAATCAATTTACTGTAATTGTTTAGTAATAGTTTTGTAGATTCATATTTTAACTTTAAATGTAAATTAATGTCCTGAAATTAAAACTATGCATATTTTTATTTTTTTAAAGGAAAATTATCTCAGTAAGTCTGCGGTAAGATATGTTTGCTAAATTTAAAATATATTAATATTTTCCAGGATAAATTAAAATGCACTTACTTTCACATATACAGACACACACACACACACACACACCCCCCCCAAGGGAAGACATACTATACCAATGCCATCTGAAAAAGTGGCATTAAAGATTTATCAAAGGCAAATATACCAAGGAAAGAGTGAGAATGTTGTATTGATAAATTATTTATCCTTTTCAATATCTGCTAGACTTTATTGTAAGTAGTCTGATGGGATCTAGATGCTTTCTTATTCCCCTCTAAAAATAAAACTAGTAACTTTTTTTATCCTGGGTATCTAATTCACAGTTTCACTTGAATATTTGTATTTTATAGTCTCCTTTTGAATCTACATAACATAGTATTTAAGTGGCAGTTTGTAGATTTGGTTACACTTGAGTTCGACTCATAGCTCTACCCACACATATGTGATGTTGAACCGTTCACTTTCCCAGTATAAGTCTATAACTAAACCCCAAAATGGCAATAATAATAAATATTAGATGATGTAAAGCAATTAATGCAATCCATGACACAGAGTAAACTATAAATAAATGTTGGATAATATTTGAAAAATTATTTTTCCTTGTCCATTTAATATTCTAATCTAATTTGGCCAAAGTTAAATCTTCACAGTCAGCAAATAAAAAAGTTTTAATTTTCTTAATAATTCTGATATATTGTACTAAAATTAGCTGTTACTAATTTATATCAGACAGAATTATAATTTAAATTCAAGAAGTTGCTTTTTAAAATGTTTTTAAAAGGGAATAATGGAAGAGGTCCAAATTATTTGGGGTAGAAATGGCACTCAGGTTTAATAGTTCCTCATTCTCTACCCTTGGGGAAGAGCATTGTAAGATTCTTGTTTCATCATATGAAAGTGATGGGGTTGGATTGAATGACATCCAAGCAATTGAGAATATTTTTCTTTTTAAATAGGAACAGTTTCATAGAATGAACGAATACAACCAACTTCAGCTGGTAATATTTTATTCATTATAATACAAAACCATATTCTACTATAGAATTAAAAGAAATTTTAAATTGAGGCCACTTCTAAATATATTTTTATTTTTATTAAGAAATTATTTATTCTAACCTTGACCAATAATTGGCATATTATTTGTATGATTGCCTGCATATTTGCTGGCAATGCTCGTTCTCTTTATTTCTGGACTAAAGTTGTATATCTTATCCGTAATTACTAACCAGGGAGAAAGTGAGTACATTCTACCACAAATTCACTTTTAACCTCCCTGATGATACATTCTGGTTGAGAATTTCATAAATATGCTTACCTGTGAAATCACAGATATGTCAAATAAACTTTCCATTTAAGGAACAGTATAGACTCTGAAAAAGGAAACAGGAATGCTAAACATCAGATTTGCTTCTGTCAAAACTCACATAATCTGCTTTTCATTGGTTTCAACCCTTTTGAGTAACATATAAGTCTTTCTTTAGGGAGGACAATAAAAACCTTTCAGTTACTATGAGCAAATTTGACATAATGAAGACTTTGGGAAATGCTTTGTTTTAATTTAGCAAAATTACATGCTAGCATTTTTAATCGTTATCAATAGAGGAAGATGAAAATCAATAATGAATTTAATTTGGACCCTAACTGTTACTCTTGTTTCCATTTTCAGGTAACTTGTGTTTAAAATAGTATCCAAATAAATTTAAACATATCAGTGCCCCAATAGAATTCATCATTATTGATCTAGAAAATTACCTGAATAATATATTTTAGTACCATATATATGATATGGCTAGTATGTAACCTCCATAACTGTTAGAACCAACTGGTCCTCCTGAGAGATTTTGTAATATTTTACAGTGTTGTCTCGAGTATTTAACATTGTCCCTGAACAAATGAAGGTACCCAGCAAATGTTTCTTATTCGTGAGTAAATAAAATGAAAATACTAAAACAGAATGTTTTCTCCTCCCTAGCAAGCTGCCCATGCCCAGGTGAGATTATTTATTAAATCTAAAATATTTTAGTATTTCCTTCACGTGTTATATTTTTATAATGCATGCTTCTTTTTTAACATAAATATATTCTGAGAGAGAGAGTTCTACCAACCCTACCTGGTAATATTTTACTTAAAAGTCGCAAAAGATAAAATTTAAATAATTAATAAATAGCCATAAATAGAAAAACACATAGTCCTAGAGAAGCGGTAGGTTATTATTTATCCTCAGAATATGAACCTTACTAATTGTTTATTTTTCCAAGCTATAGTGAGCTTAGCCTTTGGCTAATTTCTTTTTCTAACGTTAGAAAATAAAAAGTGCTTTGACAATTTTTACTAACTTTGGCATAGAATACGGTCTATTCTAAATTTCATGAATGATGTTGTGTACATTTCCGGTGCAATGTAAGATAAATGTGTTATACCAGAAGATGTCTAAGTAATTTAGAATGTGTTTCCTTTTATGCAGGAACAAATTCACAGAATGAGTGAAAACAGCCATGTCCAAGTGGTAATATCTTGCTTAATATATTACAAAACAATAGTATTTTGTTAAGCTTAAATATGTTTGCTCTTAAATAGCCCCCTACTCTTGAAGAGATTTTTTTTCTTCTCAAACATTTCTAACTCCCAACTTAAATCTCAGTTCTGACAGCTTCTAAGCATATGGCCTTGGCACATTGTATATTCTCTTGGACTTTGGTTTCTCATTTGTGGAGAAAATAATATGTGTCTATCAATTTATTTCCTCCTCCAAAACTCCCATGTCTTAATGTTTACAGTGATATGTCGTGTCTTCACATTTAAAGATAATAACTATATGTTTAATTCAGTGGCTCTAGCCATTAATGATTCAATTTATATACAACATACTAATTAAAAAAAAAAACAAAAAACAAAAAAAAAAAAACTATGTAAAGAAAGCCATGGAACATCCTTCGTATGAATGCAACTAGAGAAAGAAACTTTTAGTTCCTCATAGCACATCAAATTTTACCCTCAGTTTTTGTTTGTTTGTTTGTTTTTCTTTTTTTGTGACGGAGTTTGGCTCTGTAGCCCAGGCTGGAGCACAGTGGCGTGATCTCGGCTCAATGCAAGCTCCGCCTCCCGGGTTCACGCCATTCTCCTGCCTCAGCCTCCCACAAGTGCTGGGATTACAAGCGTGAGCCACCGTGCCCGGGCTTTTTTTTTTTCTTTTATTATGAAATTCTGTAATCACTTTACAAAGTAAAAGGAAAATAAAGTAAAAGGAAAATAAAGGCAAGCATTCTCTTCATTTGGGCTGCAAAGAATTAATTGGTCCTAACTTCCCATGTAAATAATAATAATAATAATAATAATTATTATTATTATTATTATTATTATTATGAGACAGATTCTCACTCTGTTGCTGAGCTGGAGTGCAGTGGCGCAATCTCGGTTCACTGCAACCTTTGCATCTTGGGTTCTAGCGATCCTCATCCCTTAGCATCCCAAAGTAGATGGGATTACCGGCACGCATCACAACGCCCAGCTAATTTTTGTATTTTTAGTAGAGACAGATTTTCCCCATGTTGGCCAGGCTAGTCTCAAACTCCTGAGCTCCAGTGATCCGTTCACCTTGGCCTCCCAAAGTGCTGGGATTACAGACATGACCCATCAAGTCAATGTAATTATTTTTAAAAAGATTGTGACAACTATATATGCATTTTTCATATTAATGAGGGTTTGGGGTAGCAATAATTTGACCTATCCTCGTGTTCAGTTGGATGTAAGTTACTAAACTAGTGCCTTAGTTTGTTTTGCGCTGCTGTAGCAGACTATCACAGACTGAGTAATTTATAATGAACAGAAATCTATTTGGTTACCAGTTGTGGAAACTCTAAGTCCAAGATAGAAGGGCCAGTATCTGTCAAGCGAGGGCCTTCTTGTTGCATCATCCCATGGTGAAAGAGCCAAAAAGAATACACAAGGAGGGTCAAACTCAGTCAAAACAAGCTCACCCTTGCAACAATGAGCCCACTCTTGTGATAATAGCATTAATTAAATTGTGAGAACAGAGCCCTTGTGAACTAATCACTTCTTCAAGGTCCCACTTCTCATCAGTTTGCATTGGATGTTAAGTTTCCAACACATGATCTTTGGGAAACACATTCAAATCATAGAAACTTATTTCTCTTGTCTCTGTCTCTGTCTCTGTCTCACTCTTCTCTCTCTCTCTCTTTCTCTTTCTCTCTCTCTCTGTCTCTCTATTAAGAACAGGGCCGGTTCTGTCTTGAGGTAGTTACCTTATTTTATCTTAAAAAGTTCCAGATATTATATTTGTTTTGATCTTTACATAGGCAGGTGTCCATAGCAAAATTTTAAATGCTTTTAAAGTTTTTCCTAATTCCAGCAAAGAACTTCCACCTGAATATGTAGAGAATTATATGCAACTGTTTCTATGTGCAATACAATTGTTAGTACATAGAAAAAATTAAGTGTAATCTCATTATGAATTAACAGAGGCAACTATTCCAAAATTATAGAAAGGAAAATAGTTTTGGCCCCAAAACTCTAGTGCTTGAAAAGAACACTGGCCTAGGAATTAAAGAATTATTATTTTTTTTTTTTTCTGTTCCTGACATTTCTGAAAGACAGCTGTGCTGACCCTGAGTGCAGGGCCTGTACTTTGACCCAAGTGGCTTTAAGGAAAATTATAGATCTAAATAGCAAAAATACCCGTGAGTTTATAAAGTAAATAATAATGAAATGTATGCTACTAGTCTCTTCTGGAGTCTGATAAAGTGGACCTGTGAGTAATGTGGGTTCTTGGAGTTCAGTCTTAAATGGTGTCCTTAAAAAAGTGATTTATTCATTGCCCCTCAGGTTTCTTAAAAGAGCACCTTCTGAAAGTTTCTTCAACATGGTTCACCATAGAAGATTTTGATTTATTCTTTTCCCTCACAGAGTAATCATTTTTTATGATGCTAACAGGCATCTTGGAAATGAATGAAATGTATTGATATTTTTCAGGGATTGAAAACAGCAATTGCTCATACACTGTTGCTTTTCAAATGTTTTTCCCTCTAGCCTTTCCAGCAGCTCAGCCAACTTGCTGCCTACCCCTATGCTGTTTGGTACTATCCACAAATCGTGCAGTATATTCCTTTCCCACAATTTTCCGACATCTCCAATCCCACCGCTCCTGAGAATTAGGAAAAAACTAACGCCATGCTACAGTGGTGGTAAGTTCATTTAAATTACTACATGTTGATGTTCTACCAAACTAATCAAATAAAATAGCTTGGAGAACATATCATAAGAACAGATTTAGATTAAACATGGCAAATCAATGCCTGCTGTAAAGGACTAATATGTTCTGAAATGGAAAATTGATAATATTTTCTGGCAGCTGTAGCTAATATTATCAATTTCTTAGTAACATGTGGAGCAGTATTATATATTCTATAAGTGATACTTATTCTAATGAGAGTGGAAAATAACTTCAAGTTAAAAATATAAAGGCTTCTGACATGTAATTCAACAATATCCTTTATGAGCTTTTACTAATCTTTAGTGACTTCTTCCTGGTTATACCAGTGATAAATATAAAAACACTGGGTAGGTAATATAGCACATATTTTGGTGTTCAGTAGTCCAAAATTCAAATCCTGACCTTTTTGCTTACTTGAAATTTTATAATAATCCTTATTTATTATAATCCCTAGGGTGATCAAATGCAGTAATCTTTGTTAAGCATATTTTGGGCAAAATAAACACTGAATAGGTAGAAGTGTATTTTTCTTGATTTAGCAAACTTTTATTGCTGACTTCCTTTAATCACATGATTTTAACAATTTTCGTGATTTCAGAAGAATTAACTAAATTCTCAGGAAATCCACAGTTAGGGCCCTCGGTAAGTTTGGAAATTATGTATCTAACCATTGATCTTATTTTTTATGGTCAAACAGACACCCTTAACAAGTCACATAGTGAAATAAAGTTTTAGTCTGTCAACACCAGTTGAAAAGGTCTGTAAGTTTAATTATTTTCATCCACTACATTGGAGCTTCTAACTGTGTATGTGTGTGTGTATGTGTGTGTGTATGTGTGTGTTTCCTTTTCCAGTAGCGGAAACTTCCCTTCTAATACATTAAACCAAGGAAAATGATCAAACACTAACCTATGTGAAAGCCTTTTACACTAATTGCCTTGCCATGTCTTCAACGATACCACAAAACAAAAAAAAAATTTAGTAATAAAATTTTCATTGCAGTTTAAAAACCAAGAGCGATGGATATGTATGTCAGTAACAGGAAAGCATAAATAACATTGTGAGCTTGTCTAATATGAAGAGAAAATAGTAAAATGTGTTCTATCATAAGAACTTTTCTTTTCTTCAAAAATATTTGATATAACTCACCACATATTTATTTCTATTTACAGATATGACTGAAAAGTGCATTCTCTGAATTTCTCCTCTCATGAAAAACCATCTTATCTGAAGACTTGACTGTTGTTTTAGAATAGTAAAATCCCATATTGAAGGAAATTGTTCTTTTTGAGTTATCTACTTAATAGCATATCATTCTTTTTCTTAAGCTAAATTTTCCTAGAGAGTTTCTTGTCTAAATTTCAGTTGTATCATGCCATATGGAGGGCACCTAATCAGAGGGTATTAAAGTCCTTACTAAGTTTCTCTAGTGGACTTTTTGTTTAAAAGGTCTTTGAATTGTCAATTCTGTAAGTGCCATCATTTAAAATAATTTTATGCAGTGACAGAGATTGTTTTCTTTTTCCTTTTCAATAAATTACACTTTAAGGCAAAATCCCTATTTTCTGTCATTATTCAGCAGTATTTACATAATCATCTTAAGAGTCTTTGCATATAACATTTGTTTACATTAAATTAAAATCCATATTTTCTGTCATTATTCCATCACCAGTATTTACATAATCCTGTTAATAGTGTAATGTATGTAACATTTTGTTTTCATTAATTTTTTATGACACTTTGAATCACATTTTAGTGAAGATTTGTAGAACTGTTCACTTCTGGCTGGCACTAGCAGCCAGATCATAAAAGGCATTTGTAAACTTGTCCAATGTCTTTAATGTATAGTCAGTGGTTTGTAGAACATTTTCCATGAGGACATAGTCAGAGCTGCGGAGAGAAACAAGAGTGTGGCAGTTGTGGGCACACTAGAGTTTGATCAACCTGATTATACAGTTTACTTATGCCATCTGGACCTGTTTGAGTCCAATCTGGTTGGTTATACATAAGTTTATGGCTAGAGAAATAGATAATAGTCATTAAAAGATCAACTCAGGAACACAGTAACCTGGTGTCCTTCAGAGCTGAAGTAGTAGCTATTTCTCTAAATAAAAATAGTTACTTGTTCCAATATTTTCAAAGCCCCAGGTGAGATTTACCTGGTAAGGTTTACTCCAAACTCCCCACACCAACCAATCTGCCATGATCCTTTAATGACCCATTGGATCCACCAGATCATAACACACAAGTGAAAAAGCTTCTCACCCCATGGCCTAGACCATCTAGATAGACACCAGATGCTCAGTATTCTACCAAATTTACATACTTTAGTATTCTACTACATATATAGAAAGAATGTAAAATGATAATGTATTCTATATGTATGGATAGAATATTCAGAACACTGTTTTATGTGTATGTGTGTATATAAAACACCCAATATTTTATGACTTAAAAATCTGAAGAAACCAATTTAGCATTGGGTCCCCTGCCTTCTCTCTATGTTAGGAAGTACAAGGAGAAACAACTTGTTTTCTGATCTAGAGAAAGCCTGTCAAAATACTGAGACTACTGGGCCTGCAGGAAATTAATGGAGAAGGCAGGCTCCCACATCTTCATAAAATATATATCTGCAAAGGCCAAATAAGAGAACAGAATAATATTATAATATGATTCACCACACTTGTATTATTTTAGTCTTTAATATTCATGGCATTTTCCCTATAGAGGCAATACTGCTTTTGATTTATTCTTTTACTATAGAAAAAGACATGATAATGATTTCTAGTCAGTCTTTGTTGACCTCCTTACTGCATACAGCAGGGAGGCAATATGGGGATTAGTTCAGTTTATACGTATTTAAACTATATACTAGGGCCGGGCCCAGTAGCTCACGTAATCTCAGCAGTTTGGGAGGCCGAGGCAGGCTGATTGATTATCTGAGGTCAGGAGTTCGAGACCAGCCTGGCTAAGATGGGAAATCCCGTCTCTACTAAAAATACAAAAATTAGCTGGGCGTGGTGGTAGGTGCCTGTAATACCAGGTAGTTGGGAGAGTGAGGAAGGAGAATCGCTTCAACCCAGGAGACACAGTTTTCAGGAAGCTAAAATCATGCCATTACACTCCAGTCTGGGCAGCACCAAAAATTGGTTTCTTCAGATTTTTAAGTCATAAAATATCGGGTGTTTTATCCACACACACACACACACACACACACACATACATAAAACAGTGTTCTGAATATTCTGTCTCAATCAATCAATAAAAATAAAAATAAACTATAGTCTCTAAACTGGGAACTTACCATGAATGGCTTAGTCTGTCATTAGGCTAAAAAGTAGGCAAACTCTGTTGGCAACACCGTCTATTACTAGGCTCAAAGAAATCCCCACACGAACACCAGATCATGGAGACATTATTCATTCCAAGGAATTTGTGGTAAGAGCATGGATTCAAATATCTGTAAGAAGATCAGTTAGTTCCCTTTCTTCAAGTAAATATCCAAAACTTATAGACTCATGGGGTAAGAACCAGGATTAGATACAAGATGTTATAATAGGACCCATCCTATAGATCTTTGATTTTTCTCTTCATTCAGGGAATATGAATTCATAAACTTCTTCTTATTTAGAAATTGGGAGGTAAGAAGGCTCATTAATTTTTATATAGCTTGAACCAGAATTGTGTTCACCAGTCATAAATATATTTATATTTTTAAATCAAAAATCACTCCAGTGTTACTGTCATTAATTTTCTGCCTGGAGATATGATCATTAGTCTCAAACAGAAATCACTTCTGGTTTAACCATTTCTCATGAAATAATTATTTATCTCTAAAATTTTAGCTACCACTTTGGTTTAGAAGTTTACCTGTTACCATCTTACTTTGAAACCAAGCTTAGCTGTTTCCACTTTCCCTAGCTCAAAAAGGCAATTTCAATTTCTCCGTGCCTCTCACTAGAGTTTTTAGTCAACTACACTTGGGTAGAAAATAAAAGTACTTAAAAAATACCTTTTAATATTTATTCAGGGTGAATAGGTGAAATGATAGTCATCTATGCTTTGTCTGTAAACAAGTGGATGTATAATTAGAATTAAAATATCTATCTATAGATGTTTCTGAAAGTTTCTGTTTTCACTATGGCTAAAAACTATTTTGTGCTGCCTCATTTCACACGAGTAAGATAATGGGTGTGAAAAAAACATGAACTGAAGATTGCATGACTCCCCCTTCCACTGTACTTTCAAATCCATTGTTGACATTCATGTATACAAAAATCCAAGTGTGACCTGATATTAGGACTTATAGAAAAAAAAATTCATGTGTAAAATCTCCTGATTTTAATGTCAGTATTTTTAATATACAATGTGCAGTCCTGTTCTCCCCAACGAACCAAAGTTCACTGACCATATTCGGATCCTAAGATACCAGTCATATACTCTGCTATACATTAAAGGAAGCCTTTTCTAGGTTTCTGTTTGCTTGGTTGGTTGGTTGTAATTTGTATTTCCAGTTGACATTAAACTTGAATCTTTGTCATGGTGAAGCAACAAGAAAGAATGGGAAATTAAGGTAACCATTAATGAAGATAAACAAAAAATTTATTATTTCATCATGTAAAACAGGTGCAGTGTGAAGAATTTTAGAAACATTTTGGAGTGATGGGTTCACTAATTTTTCCATCTATTTCAATATATTATACTTAGAAATTGGGGTTCTACTTTCCTAATTTTCACAAGACCTACCAAGTTTTTGAATTCCTGTTATTTTAATCATTATTACTGAATGTTTGTGTCCCCTCTACATTCGTATGTTTAAGACCTAATCCCCAATGTGACTGTATCTAGAGGAAAAGCTTCGGAGAGTTAATTAGGTCATGAGGGTGAAGCACCTCTGAATGGAATTAGTGCCTTTATAAGAGACACCACAGAGATGATCTCTTTCTCTCTGCTTTGTGAGGATTCATCGAG